CTGCCTTGCTCAAAAAGGAGTCTCTCACAGGGAATCTTCATCCCAAGGGGAGAAAGAAAAATCTCAAGAAAACCAGCACACCACCTTCAAGAACAAAGGTGTTGCTGAAGATGGAAACCTGGCTGTTCTTTTCAGGCCTAACGATCCTACAAGGATTTCTCAATGCTCCAAGTTTGCTACCATTACTTCTCGATCTCTCTCCTCTCCTATCACCTTCTCTATTCCACATCAATAGATTGAAGATAGCCTCAAGCTGGCCAAGTCACTTGTTGTTAAAGTTCTTCCTAAAGGAAAGTCGAAGAAGATGAACCCTATCAAGGCTCAGGCTCAGCTGCTATCACAAGCTGAAAGTGAATATCATAGAGCACTGGCTTTGAGGGACCGTGACAATAAAGGGAGCGAAGATCGTTTAAATAAAATAATAAGTCCCCATCACATTTCAAAATTCACAATCAACGGACGGATGAAACATGGAGGAATGATCATCTCTATGGTCATCACCGGAGACAACCTTGATGTAGTCACTGAATATCCTTCTTACTTTGGTCAATATGACTATAGTGAATGACTGGAAATATGCCAAGCCATCCAGCGATCAAAGTCAAGGCACAAGCAGATTATCGAAGACATCCTCAACGATTTTATCAAGAAGATGTCCATGTATGTTGTTGTTCCTTCAATGTCAGCATTGATGCCAGATAAAAGAAGGAAACCTTCATATCCTAATGATGAACCAACTCTAAGGAACGAACATGAAACTAAGCTTTCCTTAGAGGAAATTCTAAAGAACCCAAAGAAGCCAGATATCTCTATGTTAAGTCTCTCTTTCCTAGCGAAGGGTCCTTATACACCCAACATTGTGCATTTCAAGCCTGAGTATGGATTTATATTCTTTAACTATGATAGCGAGTATAGCTTTCAAAGAGTATCTAAGTTTCATCTCTGTCCAATAGAACACCTCAAATTTCTAAGAGCTTGGTTGGACAATGACCTAAATGGTGAGACCATGGACCGCAGGATCAAAAAGAAATATCTACGTCGAAAGAAGCTTGGAAAAGAAGTACCTAGTTACATCAGCTTCAGCGACTTAGAATAGTTAAAACTTTCTATCTTGTAAATCTTGTTTTCCTTATCTCTTCTTTCAATGTACCACTTATATGTAATAGGTCCAGAACTTACTGTTGTAACACTTATATCTTTCCAATGAATAATATAAGTATTTCTCCAGTATCACTGAAAATATCCCTGAAAAGAGTAATAGGGACATGTAGTTTTGAGTTCCAATTTACTCTTACATTCATTGACAACTTTCAGTCAATGAATATGCTTTCAGTTTTAGTTATCACACTTGTCCTTGTTTCTCTTAAACTTGTAATCATTTACAACTTAAGAAAACTTATATAAGAAAACTGTATCACTTAAAAAGATCCCAAAATATTTAAAAGAGACTTGTACTTTACTTGTAACTTTTCCTTACTATTGTATCTTATGCAATTTTCTTTATGTTGCTTTGTCATCATCAAATAGGGGGAGATTGTTGATCCTCTCTCATTGATTTGATGATAATCCCTTTTACCTATCAAAGTATAGTGTTTCTTTTTATTTAGTTTCAGCGATCATCACTGAGTCTATTTAGTGATCGTTGAACATGTATTGTAGCTCTCCCGTAACTATTATACTTCAAGAAGAAAAAACTCACACCAAAGAACCTTCAGCAATGTCGAAGACAGAAATTGAAGAATAGAGACTAGCGCGTTCATGATCTGAAGCGGCATTCAGTGATTATAAGCTATGAAGACTGCACAAGTTTCAGTGAATGCTGAAGAGACCTCCAGGGTCATTCCAACATTCAACGAATGCTGATAACAACCGTTCTACAAGAGTCATAATCTTAATGAAATGTAGTGGTTCGTTATGTGCCTAATATACATCATAGTGAGTTATAATGAGTTAAGCAGGTCATATTTGTTCTAAATAGGCCATATAATATGTTAGTGGGTCATCATGAGTCTTAATAGTTAGTAATGGGTCGTACAAGTGCTACATGTGTCACAACCGCTCTAAATGAGTCATATCAATATTAGTGAGATCTAGTGGTTCATGATATTCCTAATACGGGTTGTAGTGGGTTATAATAGGTTAAATGAGTCATATTTGTTCTAAATGAACCAAGTGAAATGTTAAGGAGTCATGATGCGTCTTAGTAATTCATAGTAGGCCATACGCATACTAGTGTTAAATATGTCACAACTGTTCTAAACGAATCATAATCAGTGTTAGTGAGACTTTGTGGTTCATGATGTGCCTAATATGGGTAGTAGTGTGTTACAACTTGTAATGAGTTAAACAAGCCATATTTGTACTAAATGGATCATGTGATGTTTTATGGGTCATCATGAGTCTTAGGGGCCATTTACCTAAATGCTTACCCGGTAAGCGTTTTACTGTTAGGAGTGAACATTATAATTTATTTTACCGGGTAATATTGTAGTACATCAAAATGGTATCGTATGCAACAATTTACCCAGTAAGCACTTACCCTGGTGAGAGTCGTCACCCTCATTTACCGAGTAAGACTCTCCATCTTTATCATTGCCCTTACCGGGTAAGATTTTTGACCCTTGCTATGTTCATCCGGTAAGAAAAATTATCCAGTAAGTGCGTTTAGTAAACTGCTCCTTAGTAGTTTGTGGTGGGTCATACAGGTCGTACTAGTGCTAAATGTGTCACATTCATTCTAAATAAGTCATAATTAGTCTTCGTGAGACGTAGTGGTTCATGATGTTCCTAATACGGGTCATAGTGAGTTATAATGGATTAAACGAGTCATATTTGTTCTAAATGGACCATGTGATGTGTTAGTGGGTCATGATTAGTCTTAGTAGTTCATAGTGGGTCATAAGGGTCAGACTAGTGCTAAATGTGTCAAAACTTTCTACATGATTCATAATCAATGTTAGTGAGACGTAGTGGTTAATGATGTGCTTAATATGGGTCGTAATGATTTATAATTGGTTAAATGTGTCATATTTGTTTTGAATGGATCACGTGATGTGTTGTGGGTCATCATGAGTTGTAGTAGTTCGTAATGGGTCATACGGTCATACTAGTGCTAAATGTGTCAACACGTTCTAAATGAGTTATAATCAATTTTAGTTAGAATAGTGGTTGATGATGTGCCTAATATGGGCCATAATGATTTATAATATTTAAATGAGTCATATGCTCGTGAGAACAAACGGGTTGAGTACTTGTAGATCATACGTCGGTTCCAGTTCAATTGAGATTACTTCTTTTCCCTTCTATTTTCTTATTTAATCGGACCATATATCAATTTACTCATTATGTGTTTCAGTTATGTAGGTGCAATAATTAAATAAGAATCTTAAGAGAATAGAAGAGGAGCGAGCAATCGAGAGAGAAGATAACGTTCAATGTGAGAAAGAGAGTCAGGAAAGACTAAAGGCTATCGAGGCGATGTTAGTTCGACAATACCCGCCATCTTATTCTGATGACCCCACTTCTCGTGCCCTCTTTCCGGTGGTCTCTTATAGATATATCAGTAGATTATGGCATGAGTTTGATATATTATTAGATTTGTATGGATATATGTATGGATTTGTAGGTAAATCTTTGGTTGAATTTTTTGGATTTTATATCTTGTTTATATACAAGTTAAAATGCAGCAAATATGGGTTTTTAAAATGTTTCTTTAATTAGAAATCCAAAAAGCGATGGCTTACTGATGATTAGCCGTCATAAAATCTAAATATTTTTTTAAAAACCATTGGAAAGCCGTTGGTAATATTGGTCATTGATAAAAGTTGTCGATACATCGTCAATAAATATTACCGACCAACTTTTTTCCAACGTTTTTTCCCGTCGAAAAGCTATCGATAAAATGTCATTTCCGACGGTTTTTGTTGTCAGTAGTGATCATAATACTTACAATTTATACCCTCATAGTTATTTATTTAATTTCATCTTACTCTCTTATCGTATCACATAATCGTATATTAATTAAAATATGTTAAAAGATACATTTTTTTACAAACTACATGATTATAATCAATTAATCATCTAATTAATACCATTAAAATGAGTTTAATATTAAATATTTTTGAATTAATTATAATGCTATAATAATAAAAATTAATAAGAATATAAAATAAAAAATGAAAATAGTAAAGATAGTATAAAACTTAAATAAATATTTATAAGTATATAAATGTAACTACTCAAGATTCTTTTCACATACAAAAGAATTGGAGCTACTAGGATGACATCGAATAAATCATTTATCTAGCAGTTTCTATAAACCTTTCAAAACCATATCAAACAATGAAATCTTTTTTTTATTGACCTAGATATTCAATCCGTTATCCGAACCGATTAAGACCATCCGTTTCGCTCGAAACCCGGAGTCATCGTATATGAACCTCCGTGACCATAAGGGAATTTTTATTCCTCGTTAAATTTGAAACTGTGACTTATTTTCAAGCATTTTTAACCTTTGAAGCCCAAGTTTAAATCAATAGAATAAATCCAAAAGTTAGGCTGAGACATCAAGACAAGTAGCCCAACATTATGTGTTTCATTTCAGCTTCTCGATAAGAGTGTGGCTGATTCTAGTACATTACTCGTTCTTTAAATTTTAAACCATCTGGATCCTATTTTTGGTCATAATTCTGTAATGCCCGTGTGTTTAAGGGTTTATTTATGGTTGTCGTTTAAAATAGTTGTCGGCAAAAAGTTTTAAAGGCAAAGCAACATACATATCAAAAAATGGATCTTGATGCTCCCAAATGAAGAACAAAAGAGATCCTACATTCAAACTTTGATTGGCACTGAAAAGGATAAAGCCAACTCAATTATGATACAAAGAGACATCGTCAATCACCATGTCAAACATAGTGCTTGTTACAGTCGATCGTATGTGTTCGACCACTTATTCTTTAATCAGATATGATTCAAATTTGATGTTTTTGCAACTACTTATTGATCAGCAAATCAATCGTACATTTTCCTTTTTGAATTTATGGCATCTCTCACTCTTTCATGCTTATTTAGAGAGATACATATATTTATGTGTATGGATAGATACAATATATAGATATAAAAAAAGGGTTGGGTGAGAGAAAGAGAATGCATGGTTTGATTAGGAGGTGGCGATGCAGAATGGCTCCCACATCAGAAGTGACCTTCTTGGCTCTTTGCAACCCTTCAATGATGGTAGCAAGCAGTCTGCTTTGTTGCCTCTGAGCAACACCAGGTCTTTGGTTTTCGTGGGTGGGAGGTGTTGGGTGATGAGTGGATCAATCACACTGGCTACCGTCGGTTTCGCCCTCCAGAAGTACTGGTATGAGTTGAAGGATGTGGCCGCAGCTGGCGGTGGTAACGGTGGCAGTCCAGTGGTTCGTGGAAGAGACTGCATAATTGGTGGTGGTGCCGCCATCACACATCCCTCCTCCTCCTCCACAGCTTCTAACTTTGCCAAGTTCACTGCTTTCGTGTTCAGCTTTATTCGGTTGTCCCTTTCGGTCATTCTCTTCACCACCACCGTTGATCTCTGCAGATCCATCACCTTGCCGCCAGTCGTTTTCGATGGTTGCAGCTCCTTAAAGATTCCCATTTCTTTGTAATCGGAATCGAAATTGATATCACTCCCGATCTCATCTTCATCTTCATCATCGATGTCGTTGTAGTTGTCTTGGGATATTTCTTCCTCAGAAATGTTAATTTTGGATGCTTGTTCTTCTTTAGGGTTGTTTATAAGAGTGAGGAGAAATCGTCCATCTTGGCGTTGTGCTTCGAAGTATTTTTGTGGCGGAACGGAGACAGCTTCAAGGACCAAACGGCCGTCGACACGGCGAGAATGCATGTGAAGAGATGGTCCCTCTGTATGTGCTGCCGCAAGAGACGGAAGAGGCGGAGGAAAGGACCGGGCTTGTGGGGCCTTCTTAGTTGTCAAACATGCAGCAGCAGGCTTGACAACTAATTTCGATTCCTCCCCTTCCACCTCTCTCATCTCCTGGACTTCCTCTTGTGGCTCGTCGCCCTTGTTCTCATCGGTACTCGTCTTTGAAGACAAATATGATGAGAACACATCTGATCCAGTCTCGGATCCAAGACTCTCAGTACAAACCTTAAGACTCTTCTCGCTCAACGAGCTAGCGGATTTCTTAACGAGTGGATGAACGTAGGGGGGTGGAAGCTTAACCAACTCGTCTTGTGCCTTTTGTGACATGATCGCGGTCCAGATATCTACCCGCCGCGGATTATCCTCTCCCTTTCTGTTTGCTTCACATTCTTCTTCATCCTCTTCCGATGAAGAAGAATCATTCACAATCTGCTCAGACCATGCGATCTGCTCAGACGAAGCAATCTTTTTCATCATGGGAGCGGACGGAACCCCGTTCTCCGCCAACCATCTCCTGGACGACATATCTGCTGACAAGGTGCGCCGAAGCGATGCCGCCTTGGTGGTCTTTTCGTGGCCATCGGATCCGAGGATGGATACAATACCTTGCTTGTGGATCATAGGGTGGATTTTGGGATGAATTGAGAGAAGAAAAGAGAAAGGCGTTGAAGGTGAATTAATGGTGGTGATACATGCTGATGAAGGGGTGCAGAGTGGCGGTATTTGTAGGGAAAGGGCAATGGAACCAAGTTCATTGGGGCCCCCTTTTTATTCCATTTTTATTAATTAATTAATTTATATTTTTGGATAATAAAATAAAAATGTAAATATATTTTATATGGTACACAAATGGCATCCTCACACTCTGGACTGGAGTCCATGATTGATAATAATTTAATATCTTCCCAAAGGTTTTTCCCAAAAATCTTTAAACACAAATTGGAAAGTGTTGTATTCATATTATATATTTACTACAATGTTACCAACATAAATCTCGATTTTAATATTTTATTTTATTTTGTCTTTATAAATATTTTAATACAGTTTTTATGTAGTTTTGAAAATGAAATAATGTTTTTATTTTTGAATAAAATATAAATTTAAAGATATCATAAAATTTCAAAAATAAATATATCAATATTGGTGTCAAATTAATCATTTAAAAGTTTTTTTTTTGTGTAATTTCTTTAATTTAATTTTTTATTATAATTTAATTTAGATTTAATAACGTATTAATTTATTTTTGCTTTAATAATGTAATTTTTATAAGAATAATAATTAAGTATTCTGTTAGAATCCAATGATTATCTCAATTATATTTTAAATTTTATATATTTAAATAAAATATATATCTTGTATTTGACTATATTTATCTGCAGTTTAATTACATAAATTCAAACATGAAGCTTTAATAAGTTGTACTTACACATAATTTATTTGTAATCTTGAATTTTAAATAATATGCATCAATAAACAGTATTTAATGCATAATAAATAGTTTTTAAGAGTTTTTATCAAATATTTTATAATATGGTATAGATATAAAACATGTTGCTCTTTATTATTCATTTCTTTCTTAATTTTTAAGGATTTAATTTAGAACACATTAATTAGGTATAAATTATAAGTATTTACATTTTTTATTTTGCCCTTGTAAAAACATAATGAGTAAACTACAAATATAGTCCCTCTGGTTATATCTAAATTATACATTGGATCTCTCAAATGAATTAATTACAAGTATTATCACTATAGTTTTAATACATTACGGATTGGATCTCTCACTCTAACTTTGTTAACCTTTACCCCCTTAAATTAAGGGTACTGTGGCCATTTTCTCCTCATATATATATATATATATATATATATATATATATATATAT